CTCCATCTCCTCAACTCAGAGAGTCCACCAAGCTCCATCTAAGAAACTCTCAAGGCAGCAAGCTGGGGTAATAATAGGGTTTGCCCCATTTATTTCTCATGTCTCAAGAATCACTATCCTTTGGTGCCTGATTCTCTCATCATGTCATATATTTTGTCCATTCTTTGAATGATTCAGGTGGTAGGATATATCTGATCCCTGTTTTTTGATGTTCATTAGTAGTCCCTGGCTATTCTTATTTAATGTGATTACTGATATATTTGGTTTAAAATATATTAGTAATTACTGACATATTTGGGCAAATAATTCTTTACAATCTTTCACTTGATCTATATTCCTTTTTCTCTTTGGCTATCTACTTTGAATGAATTATTTTTATTCCATTTTTGCTTGTCTGTTTTGAGATGGGATTTCACTCTGTTACCCAAGCAGGAATGCAGTGGCATGAAGATGGGTCACTGTATCCTCGAACTCCTGGACTCAAGCGATCCTCCTATTCAGCCTCCTAAGTAGCTAGAACTACAGGTGTGAACCACTACACCCAGCTAATTTTTTTTTAATTTTTTGTAGAGACAGGATCTTACTATGTTGCCCAAGCTGGTCTGGAACTCCTGGCCTCAAGCAGTCCTCCTGTCTTGGCCTCCCAAGGTGCTGGAGTTATAGGTGTGAGCCAATGCACCTGGCATTATTTTTCCATTTTTTTATCCTGTGAGCTTGAAAGTTATGCAATCTTGTATTATTCTTTTAATAGTTGCCTTAGAGATTAATTATAACATGCTTCTGGACTTACTAAGTCTAATAATAAGTGGTACTTTTATGAGAATGCAAAACTCTTACAACATTTTTACTCCGTCTATTCTCTCACAAATTATAGGCCAAGTTGCCACACATTTTCATTCTATTCATATTTTTAACCCAACAAGATGTCATTGTCCTATGCTATGAATATTCATTTTTTTTTATTTATTTTTAAGACAGAGTCTCACTCTTGTTACCCAGACTGGAATGCAATGGTGCAATCTCGGCTCACTGCAACCTCCACCACCTGGGTTCAAGTGATTCTCCTGCCTCAGCCTCCCAAGTAGCTGGGATTACAGTCATGTGCCACCAAGCCTGGCTAGTTTTCTATTTTTGGTAGAGATTGGATTTCACCATGTTGGTCAGGCTGATCTCGAACTCCTGACCTCAGGTAATCCTCCTGCCTCAGCCTCCCAAATTGCTGGGATTACAGGAGTGAGCCACCACACCCGGTTGAATATTCATTTAGATTTCCCAATCTATTGACTCTTTTAATTGCACTTCATGCCTTCCTGCATCTCTAACCTTTCGCCTGGGTTCATCCTTTGACCTGAAGATACCTTTTAGTATTTCCTCTTTTGCAAAACCCCATTGTATTGGTTCTGGAAGTATTCTCTTTAGTGTAGTTCTTCTCATGCCAAACATCTATCTGAAGATATCTTTATCTTTAGTTTTGAAGGATATTTTCTTTTCATAGAAAATCCCAGTTTAGCAGCTATTTTTCTTGCAGCACTCTAAAAACGTGGTTCTAATGCTGCTGACTTCCTTTATTTCTGTTGAAACTCAGCTACAAGCATAAGGGAAAGGGGTAGGAGTGCAGGAGCCACCAAAGGTAGGCTCTGGGACCTCTCTTGTTTGGGGTGGGGACTCGTGGCCTTGGTGTAAGGGCAACCTAGAGGCATTCCAGCCTTGCTGAGTTGAGGAAGTAAAGTGCGCCTTTGAATCATCACACTTCCTAAAACTAGATTTAGGCAGCCATAGAGTTCTGGTGCCCCCTGGTGCCTGATAGAGCCAACTTATCTCACACCTGGAAGGAGGCCTCCTACATCTTGATGTATTTCTACAATACGCCAATGGATGCCCTATCACACAATAAGCACACAAGGAAACAAGACGGACTGTTTGGGCAACCCAAACAGAATGGTCCACAGTCACCCAGATAACGAAATTATGATACACAGATCTCAAAATAAATATGCATTCTTTGTTTATGGAGGGAAAAGAAGATTTGAGAATTTTGGCAGAGATCTGAAAACTGTTAAAAAGAAAAAAAAGAAGAAGAAGAAAGAAAAACGAAAGTTACATCCAGTGCCTCTTAAGACCTGGGCAGACTCTCTCGGTCTCCTTGTTCTGGAGCCGTTGGCTGTGTGTTGGCCGCCTCAGGGCTCCATAGCAAAATTCCACAGGCTGGGTGGCTTACATAACAGATTTATTTTGCACAGTTCTGGAGGCTGACAAGCCCAAAGTCAAAGTGTCGGCAGATTTATTTCCTGATGAGGGCCTTCTTGGGGGTTTGCAGATGGCCAGCTTCTTGCTGTGTCCGCACATGGTGGAGAGCCAGGGCTCTGGTCTTAGAAGGGGCCTAATCCTTCCTATCATGGCGGCTCCACTCTCATGACCTCATCTCAGCCTAATTTTCTCTCATTGAGGGTTAGGGCTTCAACATGTGAATGTCGGAGGAACACAAACATTCAGTCCATAGCAGCCATCTGTTTGGCTTCCACCACCCCGGTGGTCACCCGTTCTGTGTGGGCCATGCCTGACTCCACAGGGAGTGGGCAGCACATTTCACCCCAAGCCTGCGGTGAATGCCGCTTTTCTCCTACCTCGGTCTTTCCCTGTTGCCAACAAGGCAAGAAACGCCCCAGGACTCACTCAGCACCCACACCTGTGCCACCCAGTAACGTGAGGTATTCATTTATCAGGGGATAAATGGGATTTATCACTGACTGGTAAATAAATTATTCCCCATTCCTCCTCCTGAACAGAATGTGCTGAGAGTCTGTCCTTTTACAGCCTCTTTTTTGACAGGGTCTCCCTCTGTCGCCCAGGCTGGAGTGCAGTGGCGCGATCTCGGGTCAATGCAACCTCCAACTCCCGGGTTCAAATGATTCTTCTGCCTCAGCGTCCTGAGTAGCTGGGATTACAGGCACCCACCACTACGTCCAGCTGACTTTTGTATTTTCTTCAGTAGAGATGGGGTTTCACCATATTGATCAAGCTGGTCTCAAACTCCTGACCTCAGGTGATCCGCGTGCCTCGGCCTCTCAAAGTGCTGGGATTACAGGCCTAAGCCACCACACCCGGCCGTTTTACAGCCTCTTAGAAGGTATGTCTCTGAGAAGCGGTCATCAGTCACACTTGTCTGCAGCCCTGTCTCTGCCATATCTGTGTCCCTTCCCTTCTTCCTTACTGCGCCCCTTGGATTTCACTAATAAAACAGGAGCGTGGTCCTTGCCTGGCACTCCACCTTCCAGGGGGATCTATTACCTAGGGAGGCCATGAGGATGAACCACAGCTGGAGGGCTTCACACAGCAGGAATTCATTGTCCCACGGTTCTGGAAGCCGAAGTGCAAAATCAAGCAATCAGCCAGGCTGTGCTCCCTCTGCAGCCTCTAAGGAGAATTCTTCCTGCCACTTCCAGCTTCTGGTGGCTCCCAACATTCTTCAGCTTCTGGTGGCCCCCAACATTCCTTAGCTTCTGGCCGCATCCCTCCCATCTCTGCCTCCATCTTCACGCGGCGTTCTCACCTGCATGTTTTCCTGTCGTCTTCCCTGTATGTCTGTCCATCTATGTCCACATTTCCCCTTTTTATAAGGAAGGACCCCAGTCATAGGGAATTATGGTCCATCCTAATAACTTCATGTTGACGGAATACCTCTGTAAAGACCCAATTTCCAAATAAGGTCACATTCTGAGGCACTGGGGGTTGGGGCTTTGCCATATCTTTTTGTAGAGTTGTAGAGCACAAAATTCAGTGGAATTCAATCACTAGGGAACCCTGGCTAAGACAAAAACCAAGTAAAAATCCTATAACTAAATAATAATAAAATACCTGAAATTACACACTTAATTGATTAGCTTAATAGCTAGTTAGACTGGGCTAAAGATGGGCTGCGAGACAGAATCCAGAAAAAAGCACAGAATAAAAGAATAGAGAATTTGGGGGCATAATGAAGACATAAAAAGAATAAGGGAAAACCAGAAAAGCTGCTAAAAGAAAGAGAAGATAAAGACTGAGGCATATGTTGACCTTCTTCATATATGTAAAGAAAACACATGGGTGAGGGGGCAAAACAATAATTGAACAATACCTGTTAATGGAATCAAATTATAATGGAAGAGATAACACCCTAGAATTTACTCAAAGTGTTGAAAGAGATCAAGCACAGATTTAAGAAACTTTAAAAACCCGAGGAGAAAAAGTACAAGAAATGCATACCTGGATATAGCATGGTAGAACTGCAGAAAACGAAAGAAAAAGAGAAAATATCAAAAGCAGACTATAAAAGACGTATTACTTTCCAAAAAAGCATCATTCAGCCTCTCAGTACCTCCCACACTGAATTGGCAGTTTCTTCTGAGAGGAGAAGCAACCCAAAATGGTTTGTCACTTCTGCCAAATTTGGGGCCAGCATTTCTTCACTATTTTATTATGTCCTAATACCGTCAAGTAGATTTTTTATTTAACGTTTCCGGCTGTCTTCAAAAGAGGAGATAAATTACCTAGATTCAGGTTTACCAGAAGCCTAGGTTCAAATTAATTTTAATGCTTAAAATACCTAAATGATGGCATCCCCTATAAAAGTGTTCTAGGCCAAAATGATTTTACAAATTAGTTTTAGCTTACATTCCAGTAAGGATAATTTTTATGTTAGTCAAAGTATTCCAAGCCATAGAAAAAAAATTTAGAAATTTCCTCAATTCATGATGCTAACACACCTTAGTATCAAAACTTTCTTATTTCAAAAAAGAACAGTTTTCATTTCATATGATAGATGGAAAAAACAAATGTTTATTAAAATAATACACTGTGTGAAATGATGGCAATCATCTTTTGGGACTGACCTGAAATGAGGAGAATACTCATTGCTGATCTCTTGATTATTTGGGCATAATTCATGTTCCAAATGGAATACATGGTGTGAAGTAGAAGTGACAATTTGATGTGGGATCGGTAAATATGTATCCTACTTTTTTCAGGGTATGATGTGATTGCTCAAGCTCAGTCAGGTACTGGCAAGACAGCCACATTTGCTATTTCCATCCTGCAACAGTTGGAGATTGAGTTCAAGGAGACCCAAGCACCAGTATTGGCCCCCACCAGAGAGCTGGCTCAACAGATCCAAAAGGTAATTCTGGCACTTGGAGACTATATGGGAGCAACTTGTCATGCCTGCATTGGTGGAACAAATGTTCGAAATGAAATGCAAAAACTGCAGGCTGAAGCACCACATATTGTTGCTGGTACACCAGGAGAGTGTTTGATATGTTAAACAGAAGACATCTTTCTCCAAAATTGATCAAAATGTTTATTTTGGATGAAGCAGATGAAATGTTGAGCCATGGGTTTAAGGATCAAATCTATGAGATTTTCCAAAAACTAAACACAAGTATTCAGGTTGTGTTGCTTTCTGCCACAATGCCCAACTGATGTGTTGGAAGTGACCAAAAAATTTATGAGAGGTCCAGTTTGAATTCTGGTGAAAAAGGAAGAATTGACCCTTGAAGGAATCAAATAGTTTTATATTAATGTTGAGAGAGAGGAATGGAAGTTGGATACGCTTCGTGACTTGTACGAGACACTGACCATTATGCAAGCTGTTATTTTTCTCAATACGAGGCTCAAGGTGGACTGGCTTACTGAGAAAATGCATGCCAGAGACTTCACAGCTTCTGCTCTGCATGGTGACGTGAACCAGAAGGAGACAGATGTTATCATGAGGAAATTCCAGTCAGGGTCAAGTCATGTTCTGATCACTGCTGACTTGTTGGTTCATGGGAATGATGTGCAACAAGTGTCTTTGGTTATAAATTATGATCTACCTACCAATCGTGAAAACTATTTTCACAGGGGTCAATAGCAGCAGTTGATGACGAGATAGCACTCAGAAATGGCACTGACGTAAGTTAGGACGTGGAATCATAAGTGAAATAGCACACTGTTTGAATAAAGAGCGAGTCGACTTGGCAGAGGGGATCGATTTGGGAGGAAAGGTGTGGCTATAAACTTTGTTACTGAAGAAGACAAGAGGATTCTTCATGACATTGAGACTTTCTACAATACTACAGTGGAGGGGATGCCCATGAATGTGGCTGACCTGATTTAATTCCTGGGATGAGAGTTTTGGATGCAGTGCTCGCTGTTGCTGAATAGGCGATCACAACATGCATTGTGCTTCTTTCTTCGGGAATATTTGAATCTTGTCTCAATGTTCATAACGGATCAGAAATACAGATTTTGATAGCAAAGCAACATTAGTCATGAGCTCTTGTGAGGAAAGTTACTGGCTTTATCCTCTTTAGAGTTAGACTGTTGGGGTGGGTATAAAAGATGGGGTCTGTAAAATCTTTCTTTCTTAGAAATTTATTTCCTAGTTCTGTAGAAATGGTTGTATTAGATGTTCTCTATCATTTAATAATATACTTGTGGACTAAAAGATATAAGTGCTGTATAAAATCATCCAATTATATTAAACTAGCATATCTGCCTTTGTTGTGTTTGTCATTAGCCTGAGTAGAAAGGCCTTTAAAACTTTTTTAGAATGCATTTTATTTGGTATTGTATTTATTCAATGAAGTATTTAATTAGTGGGAAAAAAAAACATACACTATGGTCAAGTAGTTTTTATTCTAGGAAAAGAAAGATATGTCAATATAAGACACAGCTGCACAGAGACTACACAGCTGTGTTCTCACTAGTGACAGAACCACTGCACACCACCAGCAAGCACCCTTCTACCTCCCTGTAGGGGAAGGTCTTTCCATAGTGAAAATAGTCTGTAAAATCTGCAAGAGGTGACTCCATCAAATATGCAGACATCAATGAAAGGCAACAAGAAACATGTAAAACCAAGGAGACATATCACCCACAAAAGAACACAATAATCTCCTAAAATTGACCAGAAAGAAATGAAAAAAAAGTCATTGCACTCCAGCCTACAGCGAGTGCTCCATCTCAAAAAAAAAAAGAAAAAAGAAAAAAAGAAAAGGAAATGAAAAAAAAACTAACAAATAACTCAAAATTCAAAATAATTTAGGAAGCTTAGCAAACTTCAAAAAAATACAGAGAAGTAATTCAGTGAAATCAGAAGAACAATAAGTGACCAAAATGAGAAATGTAATGAAAGATTGAAATTTTTAAAAAAAAAAAAAAAAGCAAACAGAAATTCTGGCACAGAAGAATCCAATGAATGAAATTTTAAAATGTAATAGACAGCATCAGTGACAGAATGATCAAGCAGAAGAAAGAATCTGTGAACTTGAAGACAGATTATTTGAAAACATACAGTCAGAGGAGAAAAAAAGAGTGAAAAAGAATGATGAAAACTTATGGGACTTTGGGGAGAGTATCAAAAGAGCAAATGTTCATGTTATAGAAGTTCAAGAAGAAAAAGAAAGAAACAAAGGAGAAGGAAACTTATTTAAAGAAATAATAGCAGAAAACCTTCCAAACCTGGGGAGCAATATAAATATCCAGGTACAGGAAGATTAAAGATCTCCAATCTGATTCAATCAAAACAAGACTGCCACTGAGACATAATCAATTTGTCAAAAACCAAAGACAAAGAGAGGATCCTGAAAGCTGCAAGAGAAAAGAAACAAATCACATGTAAAGAAGTTCCAGTAAGGCTAACAGTGGATTTCTCAGCAGAAACCTTACAGACCAGGAGAGAGTGGGATGATATTCAAAGTGCTGAAGGGGAAAAAAAAACTTCCAACCAAAAATACTTTACCCAGAAAAGCTATTCTTCAGAAACAAAAGAGAGATAAAGACTTTCCCAGGCAAATTAAAGTTGAGGGAGTTTATCACCACCAGACCTGTCTTCCAAGAAATGCTAAAGGGAGTTCTTCAAGCTGAACAAAAGTATGCTAATTAGTAACATAAAAACATACAAAAGCAAAAACCTCACTGGTAAAAGTATGTAGTACACAGTCAAATTCAGAATACTCTAACATTGTAATGGTGGTGTGTAAATTACTTATTTTGTAAGTAGAAAGGTTAAAAGACAAAATTGTTTTGAAATATAGTTATATTAATGTGATAAAGTATATACAATATTAAAAGATGCAAATTGTGACATCAATAACATCAAATGTGGGGAGGTGAAGTCTAGAGTTGTTGTATGCAAGGTTAAGTTGTTATTAGCTTAAAACAGCCTATTATAAGATGTTTTATACAAAGCAAAAACCTATAGTAGATACACAAAAAAGAAAGAGAAAGAAATCAAAGCCTACCTCTACAGAAAATCACCAAATCACAAGGGAGGACAGCAAGAGAGGAAGAAAGAAACAAAAACTCCACAGAACAACCATAAATCAATTTAAAAAATGGCAGTAGTAAGTCCTTGCTTATCAATAATTACCTTGAGTGGAAATAGATTAAAATATCCAATCAAAAAACAGAATGTTCTATGGGTTTTTTTAAAGACCCAACTATGTGCTGCCTACAAGAGATTCACTTAACCTAAAGAGACACACAAATTGAAAGTGAGAGGATGGAAAAAGATATTCATGCAAATGAAAACCAAAAGAGAGCAGGATAGCTATACTTATAACAGATAAAATAGAATTTAAGCCAAAAAACTGTAAATTGAGACAAAGAGGGTCATTATGTAATGATATAAAGGGATTGATACATCAAGGAGATATAACAATTATAAATACACAGGTATCCAACATCAGACCACTTTAATACATAAAGCAAATATTAATAGATCTGGAGAGAGAGAGAGATGGCAGTATGATAACAGTAGGGAATTTCAATACTACACTCTCAACAATTGACAAATCATCCAGACGGAAAATCAATAAGGAAACATTGGCTTGAACTATACTTTAGATCAAATGAACCTGACAGACACATATTTTAGGTTGGTGCGAAAGTAATTGCATTAATGGCAAAAAACACAATTACTTTTGCACCAACCTAAATAGAATATTTCATTCAACAGCAGCAGAATACCCATTCTTCTCAAGAGCGTACACATGGAAAATTCTCTAGGATACACCATATGTTAGTCCACAAAACAAATCTTAACAAATTTATGACGATTGAAACCATTTCAGACCCCAATGGTGTAAAACTAGAAATAATAGAAGAAATTTTAGGAAATTCACAAACATGTGGAAATGAAACAACATGCTCCTAAACAAGGGGTCAAAGAAGAAATTAAAAGGATAATTGTTTTAATATCTTAAGATAAAAGAAAATGGAAGTTCAACATACCAAAAGTAATCCTAAGAGCAACAAATGCCTACATCAAAAAAGAAAAAGAAAGATTCCAAATACACAACCTCACATTACACGTCAAAGGACTAGAAAAAGAACAAACTATGCCCAAAGACAATAGAAGAAAGGAAATTAAGGTAAAGATCAGAGCTGAAATAAGTGAAATAAACACTAGAAGAACAATAGAAAGATCAACAAAACAAAGATTTGTTTTTGGAAAAGAGGAATAAAATTGACAAACCTTTAGCTACAGTAAGAAAAAAGAGAAGACTAAAATAAATAAAATAACAAATGAAAGAGGATACACTACAACTGGATGAGACAAATATGAAGGATTAAAAGAGACTATTATGGGCAGGGCATGGTGGCTCACATCTGTAATCCCACCACTTTGGGAGGCCAAGGCAGGTGGATTACAAGGTCAGGAGATCAAGACCATCCTGGCTAACACTGTGAAACTCCATCTGTACTAAAAATACAAAAACAAAATTAGCCAGGCGTGGTGGTGGGCACCTGTAGTCCCAGCTACTTGGGAGGCTGAGGCAGGTGAATGGCATGAACCCGGGAGGCAGAGTTTGCAGTGAGCTGAGATCATGCCACTGCACTCCAGCCGGGGCAACACAGCAAGACTCCATCTAAAAAAGAGAGAGAGACTATTATGAACATTTGTAGGCCAACAAATTGGATAACCTAGAAGAAATGAATTTCCAGACACATGCAATGTGCCAAGACTAAATCATGAATACATTAAAAATCTGAACAGATTACTAATGAGTAAGGAGATTGAATCAGTAATAAAAAGTCTCATGTTTGAGACTTTTCCACTGAGACCTGATGGTTTCAATGCTGAATTCTATCAAACATTTAAAGAACACCAATACTAATTATCTTCAAACAATTCCAAAATATTGAAAAGGAGGGAATACTTCCAAACTCATTTTATAAGGCCAGCATTACCTGGATACCAAAGCCAAGTAAGACACTACAGAAAAGAAAATTACAGGCCAACACCCCTGATGCATATAGATGCAAAAATCCTTAATAAAATACTGGCAAACAGAATTCAACAACACTTTGAAAGGATCGTTCACCATGATCAACTGGGATTTATCCCTGGGATGCAAGTATGGTTCAACATATATAAATCAATAAGTGTGATACATCATATTAACAGAATGAAGGACAAAGCCATATGATCATCTCAACAGATGTAGAAAAGACATTTGACAAAATTCAACATCTTTTCATCCTAAAAATTCTCAACGAATTAGATGTAAAAGAAACTTACCTTAACACAATAAAGCCCATATACCCAAACTCATAGCTAACATCATTCTCAGTAAATCTTTTCCTCTATGATCAGGAATAAGACAAGGATGCCCTCTCACCAGTTCTATTCAACAGAGTACTGGAAGTCCTAGCCAAAGCAATTATGCAAGAGAAAGATGTAAAAAAACCATTCAAATCAGAAAGGAAAAAGTTAAATTGTCTGTTTGCAGACTACATGATCTTCTATGTAGAAAATCCTAAAGATTCCACCAAAAAACTCTTAGAACTAATAAATTCTGTAAAATTGCAGCATACAAAGTAAACATACAAAAATAAGTAGTGTTTCTAAACACTAACAAAAGCTACCTGAAAAAGAAATCAAGAAAACAACCCCACTTACGATAGCTATAAAAAAAAAAAAATCTTTAGAAAAAAATTTAACCCAGGGGGATAAAAGATCTGTAATCTAAAAATTAAAACATTGATAAAAAATTAAAGACACAAACAAATGGAAAGATATTTATGTTTACGGATTTAAATAATTAATATTGTTGCGCTGGGCGTGGTGGCTCATGCCTGTAATCTCAACACTTTGGGAGGCCAAGGCAGGTAGATCACAAGGTCAGGAGATTGAGACCATCCTGGCTAACACGGTGAAACCCCATCTCTACTAAAATTACCAAAAAAATCAGGTGGGCGTGGTGGCAGGCACCTGTAGTCCCAGCTACTCCAAAGGCTGAGGCAGGAGAATGGTGTGAACCCGGGAGGTGGAGCTTGCAGTGAGCCGAGATCGCACCCCTGCACTCCAGCCTGGGCAACAGAGTGAGACTCCGTCAAAAAAAAAAAAAAAATTTTATATTGTTAAAATAAGTCATCTACAGATTCATTGCAATTCTTATCAAAATTTCAATGAACTTTTTCACAGAAATAGAAAAAAATCCTAAAATGCACATAGAACCACAAAAATCACTAAATAGCCAAAGCAATCTTGAACAAAAAGAACAAAGCGAGAGGCATCACACTATCTGATTTCAAAATCTACTAAAAAGTTATAGTATGGTAAACCCGGGGATTTTTTTAAATTAAAAAAA